AGCTAATATTACTGAAAAGAAAAAAAGTGTCTGTCTGAATAATTAGTTTTACTTATGTTACATCAAGTACGGGAGCCTTTATTGGTTTAAATCGATGTTTTCAGAATGTCCTTTCTCCCCAATTGACAAGGAAATAAAAATCATGAGTACCAGTCATAGCGCTTTTTATTCTTCTAAACATTGATTTGATATTTCCCAGAATATTACAGAGTGTGCTTTGGCTGAGACTTCAGGTTCACCTCCATTACAATATAATTAAAGCAAAGTGCAGGTAAAACTATTAACACAATGTAAGGCAATGCGCTTCTTTATCAAGAAAAGTATACTGATGTTAAAGTATATCCCTTCGGCTGGCTGTGACACAATGACTACATTATTCCCAGTAAGCTGAAGGTTAATGTTTCATAATTAGCATACTAATTCAGTAAAAGACGTGCACTAACTCAATTAACAGGCATTATAAAATCATTGCAATATTTCGCCTGATACATTAACACATAGTCATAGCAGTTTTATGTAGTTTGGTTATATAGTTTAAGTACCGATGTGTAACCGCACAACGCACCAAAAACAGCGTGCACACATCGTGCATGCATCGTGCACACACCGTCCGCACATCGTACACACATGGTGCACACAACTGTGCGATTTAACAATCGCTCGCCCCGTTTTGCGCTTCTCTATGCACAAATGTGCGATTGGGTACAATTGGTCAATCAATATTACGAAATGAAAAAATTCCGGAAGGAGCGTATGGAATAAAGACCAATGTATACATAAATTTCTCGTTATATTGATTAAAATTAGGTTCAATTTTACAATGCGTGTTACACAATATTGCAGTGACTGTTAGACTGTCAGGAAAGGATTTTGCTTCCAGGTAACAGAACAGGTAAATAACATTTGTATAAGTGACCGGAGTTTTACCTGGCGCCCTGTTCCTGACATAGAGAGCCGATAAATGATACCGTATTACACCTAGATTTTCACATCTTGACGAGTTACGTAACTGCCCCGGATGTGGAAAACGGTTTACGTACATGTACAAAGTGGTCATGTTTACCTGTATATGGGATCATGTCCATAGGTATCATAATTTTACATGTGTCGATTTGGATCGTTTAAAGAACACTTAAACACCTTTTCTAAATTTAAAAAAATAAAATCAGCTGATATATATAGCTAGAATATAGAAACATTCTTAAAAGTAAAGATTATTGGTTTTAACACGAAACCGTATAAATTGTTAAACCACTTCTCAATTTACACCAACCGCGCTTGTCATCGCACAACGTTCGTCCAACGTTCGCAAGCAATAATCGTACACTGTGTAGTCCAGTCTTTCATTTATCTTGCATCCAAATTACCTCCTTCATCAGTCTGCTTGCTAAAACTGACGCGCCACATACTGGAAAGAGGTATGGTATTCGAAACAATTTCTATGAGTCTACAACATACATCACAGTTGGCAAGTGTTTCTTGTATTTCCCACCTGGCGAAAAGTGGTTACTTGTTCTGTTTACCAATAATTTGGTTATATTTCTATCTCTTCTGTGGCTCAAAATTGGTGAGTTATTTCGACTGTGATGCATTTGCTATGGTTTCCCCAGTGGAATAAACAGTAGGTAGTTGTTATGGTAACATAAGCCTTCAATTTGCTGAAAGAGAAAGAAGCAAAGTTGTTCCGAAAAATATGGACCAGCACATTGACCGAGCTAAACCTGTTGCAGTTACCTTCCTTTTATGACTGCTTTCTGAGGCAGCAATGACAAAATATATCTCTATGAGTATGGTAGAAAAAATACAGGCATGGCTATGCTTGTTATGTATAAGACGTGATGAAAAGGGACATTTCAGCACATTTATACATGTTTCTTTTTGTTTCCAATTCAATCAGGTATATATATATATATCAAGTTTAAAAAAATGATTCTTGCTGCAACAGAATAATAAGATAATAGGGGTGCATCGCATATTATCTTATTAACCACAGAACTTCAGGAAATACGATCCATGTATTATCTGAACCTCTGAAATGATGTTATTTTGCGGGTTTCAAAAATCAAAGAAAGAATGTTTGTACATTAAGCAATGAGAATAGCATATTTTAACAATGTTAAAAGTATGTGAACAATATTATCATGGCGACCACACCAAATAAAAAAATAAAACCCATTGAGGTGGCAAATTGCAAGTGAATTAGTAAACATATTCAAGAACGGACCATTGTTTTGTAAGCATTCTCATTCAGTAAAACTTCATTTTACACATGTGACATATTTTTCGCAAATATATTCAATATCTATGCAATTTACATTAATGATGCTTTCCTTACACATGTTTATAATTGGATAAATACTTAAATACCAAATGGATGCGCATGAGGTCAGTTAAGGTAAGGTGAAAGAAAGTAGTGTTGTTAGTTTGGGTAAAATGAAAGTATTGTCTTAGTTTGGGTAAAATGAAAGCAGTGTCTTAGTTTGGGTGGAGTGAAAGCAGTGTCTTAGTTTGGGTGAAGTGAAAGCAGTGTCTTAGTTTGGGTGGAGTGAAAGTATTGTCTTAGTTTGGGTGGAGTGAAAGTAGTGTCTTAGTTTGGGTAAAGTGAAAGTATTGTCTTAGTCTGGGTGGAGTGAAAGTAGTGTCTTAGTTTGAAAAAACCCTCATTAGTCTAGGACCGCTCTATGGACCACTTTTCACCTCTTTGTCTATGTGAGCCGCCATATATGATTGAGGGGGGATTTTCGGAGGCTTAATTAATGACTCATTATTATTCATAAAAATGAGTCAGAAACTGCGGTACCCGGCACCGTCGTTTAGAAGGCCTCAGGACAACGCCCCCTTCGACAGGATCTTACTCTATATGTTTACTTTGGTTAGTCACTGCCGATCTTAATATTACCTTTACTGTAAAGCAATGTTAACAATCACGAAGGGTACAAAGAGAGACTCCTGTCACCAGTTGGGGAATTCATGGACAGATTCTGACGAAGGCTGTGCTAAACTTGGGGCACAGACATGCCGAAGTTGATACATTTTCAGAGTGGGCTAAATATACGAGGTCCCTCAATACAAAAAGCGAATCATCAGCTTGAAATCCAAAATGAAAACAAACTAAAGTCTGTATTCAATACCACGATTTCCGAACTACTCTAAACGATCTGCATGATAAGCAGGGACTTGTGGTGACGGACAAACTTCAGCGACAAACCTGATCCTTTTTTGAAAAAGACTATTGCATTTCCTGCTTACAAAGAGAAAAGGCTTGTTTAGTTACATGTATCAAGGAAATCCCACCAATAAATTTGTAAATATTTGAATGATGAAATGAAAGCTTATCATACTTTTGTATTTTATTCTATCCCAGTACATGTACCTATTAAATCTAAAGATACGGACATGTCGCATTGTGTTGGATTCCGAAAATCATAAGAACCCTTATCAACAACATTCATCGCTGGCTCTGCTTGTTGTTCAACTAAACAGTTATTATGACCGAACAATTAAAGGATACAGTGGTAAGATTACGCTTTGTACTGTAGGAGTGGAACAAACTTTCCTGACCATCTTTCCTATATTTAGCTCACATGATTGTTCATGAGAGCTATTGCCAACCGTCTTCGTCCGTCGTCGTGCGTCGTGGGTAAACTATTTACATTTTTGGCTTCTCAAAACAACTGAACCAACTTCAATTAAATTTTGCAGAAAGGCTACCTTATCAAAGCCAAACCAAATTTATGAATTATTTGGATCTAACCCCAAGGGGCCTGAGGAGCGTGGCAAAAAGTGGTCAGATTGGCTAAAACCTAAACAGTCTTCTTCAGACCCCGATATGCTGGAATCAAATACCCGTCACTGTCATAAGGTGCTGTATCAAAATTGTTTCGTTTCCCCAGTGTCATCCATTCTATTTAAAGTTTATTATAGTTTATATTTTGATTTCTTTCAGTGGAAAATAATTTAAACTTGTTTGGAATTACCATCCTGTTATTGCAGTGAGATATAAACATTGATAACTGACTCACCTCCGGGGTCTTAGGGGCGGGGACAGATGGGAAGATCGAAAGGTGCACCTCCGGGGACTTAGGGGCGTGGACAAAATGTTGGAATCAAATCCTCTTTATAGATGGGAAGATCGTATGGCGCTTTTAATTCTATTTTATGCATCACAACAACAAATAACATACATGTTTATTTAAATAACAGGTGACCGTCAAGTCCCATTGGCCTCTTGTCTAACTGTTTGTGCTGTATTAAAGACATATTGTGTTTACTGATCGTGAAATACATATAGACAATATCTGTTAGTTAAGAAACTAGATCAGTTTGTAAATATTGTATAACACTTATTTAGCTTCTTTAAATTGTGTTAAATCCTGACTCGTTGCTTCCAAAGAAGTGTCCTTACATTTCGTGACAATCTGAAATTCCAACATAGCCACCCTGGCCTTTCAGTTGCTGGAATTTTTCAAAACAAGTTGTAGTTATTGACTCCAAAGCAATGAAATTCATGTGAGCGTTGATACCTGTTGGGCATCTTGCTATCCCTTAAAGGACATACTTAATTCGCTACCGAATGGAATATCTAATTTAGGAGAAAAAAAACCCCTCAAGATTAAGTAGCTGGGCTGTACGATCCGAATATTGATGTAAAACGAGTGGTTATCTCCCTTTGTAAATATGTGCTTCAATGGCTAGACTAACGTACGGTCTGACTAGTGATATATAACGTGTAATTACCTCCCTTTGTAGGTATGTTCGGGAGTTTCTTGCCTGTATGATCTGACTACTTTATTATACATAGCTACAAAATGTACCTCCGTTTGCAAGTATGTCCGGCAGTGGCTAGTCTGCACAGTCTAACTAGTGATGTATTAAATGTAATTACCTACCTTTGTAGGTATGTCCATGAGTGGCTGGGCTGTATGGTCGCCACCAGGATCGTATCAATAGATACCTCCGACAAATACTTCATCCCTACGTCACTCAAACCGGGACTTCCTTTTTCCTGTCATTGGTACTTTGACTGCTAAAGCAAAGAAATGCTTCAGAAAGGATGGACCTCGAGGTTAGTGTAGCAACTACCTAGACGAACCTTTTAAAACGCCCAGATGCTAATATGTATATAAGGAACATATGGCATTAGTCTCTTCTACTGAATATGAGTTTCTATTTTCTTATAATATTAATATCCAGGAAAATATACCATAGAACTGACATAGACAGTTTTAGTATATAGGGGTAAGCGTAACTTCCGGAATAAATTTCTCAAACCGAACTTTATTTTACTATTTTTTCATGTACAAACTTATAACACTGCATACAAAAGAGAAAAGTGATACTTTAAACAAGGGTTGCCATAACATAAACAACATCGATACAATTCGAGATCCTGAGTCAAACCCGCACCTAGCGGCATAATATCAAGTTAATTGATATTTAGAAATCACTCCTAGGTTACCCCCTTGGTGATGAGCCAGACGAGGTCTTTGACGTCACTGACGACAGGATGTCAGATACAGACACCGTTGTGACCCAGCTCCTGGAGCCAGCAAGGAAACTCACAAGTAAGGTTTTATCGCATTATAACAACTCATAATTGACATTTTATTAATTTTGCTCTAGAGATATTGGCTCCCGACCAATTTGAATTAATTTCAAGCATAATAAGGTTGTATCGAATTACATTTAGTCCGGCTTATAGCACTTTTCATCAAATTGCATTGATCAAACAGGAATTGACAAGTTCATCGTAAAATTCTTGCAAAATGCCGTATATATTCCAAAGACACTTTTTTTTTGTCGTTTGATAAAAAAGAAATACGCTCAATGCTCTTGCAAAGTGAGGAGTTTATATGACATTGTATTCTCGCGAACAATGAGTTTATCTTTCTCCCGTACAGCGGAGAATTTTTAAATGTATTGCCACCAGAGTAGGATTTTATCACATTTCTTTGTTTTGACATATTATCATTAATCTTGTTGACTCCGCCCAGAGTAAACGCGAGTCTTTATTACTACTCACCCGTGGACTGTTATCATGTCATCCGTGCTCAAACTCTAATGTTACGATATTTACCTCTTCAACAAGGTATTCCTTGTGATATTGTCTGGAGCAAAATGGCATGTTGTTCACATGTTATTGCTTATATGTAATGCTTTACATGTACACTCACAGAAGTAAGGTTCTGCCGTTGTCTTGATACCCTCACAAGTAAGGGTCTATTACATAATTGTATAACCTCCTCATTTGCAAGTAATGTTCTGTTGTACATGCAAGGCAATGCATATTTTGAAACCGGACAGACAAAACCTTTATCAATGTCAAACAATCAACGGTACTGTATATATCGAATATGTGCGCATAGTACTATTCTGGGGTATACTTGTATGTGTAGTGGTATGAAAAACATCACATGAATATATCACGAAAGCAAGATCTTGATCAATGTAAAATCTCTAACGTCAAATTTCATTGTACATTTAGAGTCGATGGTCACCATTCTTGATCTAGGATCCGGAGCAGGATGTTTAACTAGAGCGTTGCGCAGGCATTTCCCAGACGCAGAAATATACGGTGTTGACTACAGCGAAGTTGCAACAACCAAAGCCATTGCAGCCGCCAAAGCTGAAGGCATCAAAAACGTGAAGTTTCTAAAAGAGGACGCGACATCTTTACCCGCAGACTGGAAAGGCAAGTTTGACTGGGTGATCTTGTATGACCTTCTTCATGATCTGGCTGATCATGTTAGTGTCATGAAGGAGGTTAATCGCGTCTTGAAGGACGGAGGTGTCGCATCCATCACGGACCCGGAAGTACACAGTAACCACAGGGATAACGTCGGTGATAGTTACGTGGCAGGTGTGGGATACGCCCTTAGTTCCGTATCATGTCTCCCACGCAGTGTGGCGATAGAAGGTGGAGCTGGATACGGCGTAGGTTGGGGAACCGAAAACAAAAAAAGTTTTTAACCGGTTCTGGCTGGCATGTTAAGGACAAACGCCATATCGGAAGTCCTTTGGCTTGCTACTTCACATGTATCAAGGCATAAGGGACAAGAACAAGCAGAACGATTTACTCTGTCTGATATATTTCGCTTTAAAAATCTGCAAGATGAATCGCCATCATGTTAGGACTATATGCTTTTGTTCCAAGTAACACGCGTGCTTTCTTTTAATAAAGATTTAACTGTTTTTGCCTAGGGAATAAGAAATGGTTCTTATAGTACATAGTATACTGTATGTGACTAAATAGCTTTAGACACTGCCGTCCTTGTTATAAAGTAGCAGGACGTTATTACTATAGTCGATATCGCTTTAGCATTTAGCAAGTGCAGGTCATATATGGAAAGTAGTACTATCAGATTAGTTTAACTGTGACCTTTTATAATGTTCAAACAGAACACTTATTAGATTTGCTTTATGTTTTGAGTGAATTGTTTTTTAAACAAGGTAAGAAATAAAGATTATGTTAACAAAAAAGTGTTATTTTAAAACTGTTTTTCACATTTTCACCTCAACAACGTTTTATAAACGGCTAATGTTTTGACCGAAAGTCAATCTTTGTTACGATAATTCACCACATATCATTAATCTATACAAAATGTCATTTTACAACCTTTGTAAATCTCGAATTGGTTGCATGAATCATTACTTTTTAACGTTTTATCCATTTCCGTTCATAAGGTGATACCATTACGCCCCCAGGAAAGATAGTGTTTTGGTCCATTTGCATCAATCTTCTGGATTCCTTTTCTGCCTAGCTTATGTCCAAAAGGAATGTCAGTGATACAAAAACGGGACGTATGTAATTATATTTTACAATATATAAAACGTTATGTAAACAAGAACTGGTATACTGGTCGTCTATATATTACTTTATATCCTAAATAGCATGGTAAATCCATCAATATCTGTCATTCTAACACCTACACGTGTTTAAAATCATCAATTAACTAAGTCGGGTTACTACTATACATTTAAAAGCGACGTGCACGGAGAAACATGTATGCATATCTAAATTTACTATTTGGTAATACCTAGGTTATTGTTTTTATTTTTATTTTGCCGCTGATAAGGAACTTTGTAAGAAATAAATATTACATCTTTCAATATCTCGTGCACACATAATTCGCAACCTGTGCTTTGTTATGCATTTATGCGTACTCTTAATCCTGAATATATTGTAATGAAATGCAGCACCATTTTATCTCCATAGAAATCAACTACATTATTATAATATTTCTTTTAATCAGTAAAGCACACTAATAAATGACCAGTCTATCAATCAAGAATGAATGATACACACGTTATGACACCTTTATAAATTGGTAATTAACCCCTTAACTTTATGAATTTAAAATACAGATGAGAACTGGGTAATTTCAAAATCATAAATGAGTACAATGTGTGCGTGTCATGAACCGCGTCATTACTCAAAAGCAATCCAAATCGCCATCCATGTTACGACAAACCTCGGGGAACAAGAAATAGTATCGCAGAGTCCATTACCCCGTATCTTGGCTGATGCACGTTAAACATTCACATGGAATTCACGTATAAAGTTATCTTGTTATATAAAAAAAAAAATGACACAAATAGTTGTGTAAGCAGGGATGTTAAGTACATTGCAACCTGTTTTCAAGTTTGTTATCTAGAGAGTTTCTCAGACGACCGATAAAGTTTATTACTATTTATGAAAATTAAAAAATGGTTGCTGATTGTGCGCGCTAATCCAAGGACGGATTTCAATGAGCCAATGTACTCCTGATAACGTATCAAAATGATCACATCATCAGAACACTTTGATTGCAAAGAGTGAGGTCATTACAGAACGTGTACCATACGGTAGCCTTTTGTATCAGTCGCTGAAAACATCATTCGAGTTGTTATTTCGCACCACAATTCGTATTTTTATTTATTTTTATCAAGTGCGGGAACAAATACGGTGGTTTTGGGGCCCCCATGGCTCAAAGGGTGTTTAGGGTTACAGCTAAAATACGACGAACACAAAGAAATCAGTTGGGTAAAGATTGTAAAAATACAGCAAAGTAGCCGTGATATTTTTTCCATAATTATGATAAAATAAGATATGGATTACTATTTTATAGAAATTCGTTTGCCTGCACTTTCTTTATTTACACCTTAACTTCCTTCTCGACGACTTCATAATTTCTTCTAGTCTGCGAGTCGAAGGATATGCCGGGCTAATCGAAACTGGTCGAAGACGGTTTTTAAACAACAGTAAATTGGATTGAACCAGATTCTTAATGAAAGAGATGGAGATGCCATTAGTTCAATACGCTTTCTATTAAAAATATTTCATATGTGTATAATGTCCTTTAGGGTAGAAAAGTGATTTTCCCATAACGTGACTGGGTTGAATACCTTGTTTTGTGAGGAAGCATTCTAAAGTCGGCATTACATCCTGGCTATCACAAGGAGGGAAATACATCAACGTATGATACCGCCCAATTAACACGCACATGTTACACAGAGGGAATCAAGTCATTATATCCTGGCTATCACAAGGAGGGAAATACATCAACATATGATACCGCCCAATTAACACGCACATAATACACAGAGGGAGGTAAGTCATTATATCCTGGCTATCACAAGGAGGGAAATACACCAACATATGATAACGCCAAATTAACACGCACATGTTACACAGAGGGAAGCAAGTCATTATATCCTGGCTATCACAAGGAGGGATATACACCAACATATGATACCGCCGAACTAACACGCACATGTTAACCCAGAGGGAAGCAAGTCATTATATCCTGGCTATCACAAGGAGGGAAATACACCAACATATGATACCGCCCAATTAACACGCACATGTTACACAGAGGGAAGCAATTCATTATATACTGGCCATCACAAGGAGGGAAATACACCAACATATGATACCGCCCAATTAACACGCACATGTTACACAGAGGGAAGCAAGTCATTATATCCTGGCTATCACAAGGAGGGAAATACACCAACATATGATACCGCCCAATAAACACCCACATGTTACACAGAGGGAAGCAATTCATTATATCCTGGCCATCACAAGGAGGGAAATACACCAACATATGATACCACCCAATTAAAACGCACATGTTACACAGAGGGAAGCAAGGCATTATATCCTGGCTATCACACGGAGGGGAATATACCCCCATATATGGTACCGCCCTATTAAAACGCACATGTTACGCAGAGGGAAACAAGTCATTAGGGGGTGGCTATCACAAAGAGGGAATTACACCAACATATGATCCCGGCCAACTAAAGCGAACATGTTACACAGTGGGAAGCAAGTCATTATATAATGGCTATCACAAGGAGGCAAATACACCAACATATGATTCCGCCCAATTAACACGCACATCTTACACAGAGGGAAACAAGTCATTATATCCTGGATATCACAAGGAGGGAAACACACCATCATATGATACCACCCAATTAACACGCAAATGTTACACAGAGAGAAGTAAGTATTTATATCCTGGCTATCACAAAGAGGGAATTACACCAACATATGATAGCACCCAATTAAAACGCACATGTTACGCAGAGGGAAACAAGTCATTAGGGGGTGGCTATCACAAAGAGGGGAAGACACCAACATATGATACCCCCCAATTAAAACGCACATGTTACGCAGAGGGAAGCAAGGCATTATATCATGGCTATCACAAGGAGGCAAATACACCAACATATGGTACCGCCCAATTAACACGCACATCTTACACAGAGGGAAACAAGTCATTAGGGGGTGGCTATCACAAAGAGGGAAATACACCAACATATGATTCCGCCCAATTAACACGCAATACACCAACATATGAAGGTAAGTCATTATATCCTGGCTATGTTACACAGAGGGAAACAAGACATTATATCCTGGCTATCACAAGTAGGGAAATAAACCAACATATATGATACCCCACAATTAACACGCAAATGTTAACCCAGAGGGAAGCAAGACATTATATACTGGCTATCACCAGGAGGGAAATACACCAAGATATGGTACCGCCCAATTAACACGCACATGATACACAGAGGGAAGCAAGGCATGATATCCTGGCTATCACACGGAGGGGAATATACCCCCATATATGGTACCGCCCTATTAAAACGCACATGTTACACAGATGGAAGCAAGTCATTATATACTTGCTATCACAAGGAGGGGAATACACCAACATATGATACCTCCCAATTAACACGCGCATGTTACATAGAGGGGAGCAAGTCATTATATACTTGCTATCACAAGGAGGGGAATACACCAACATATTCCTGGCTATCACAAGGATGATACCGCCCAACTAACACGGGCATGCTACACAGAGGGAAGCAAGTAATTATATACTGGCTATCACCAGGAGGGAAATACACCAAGATATGGTACCGCCCAATTAAAACGCAAATGTTACATAGAGGGAAGAAAGTCATTATATCCTGGCTACCACAAGGAGGGAAATAAACCAACATATATGGTACCGCCAAATTAACACGCGCATGTTACATAGAGGGAAGAAAGTCATTATAGCCTGGCTATCACAAGGAGGGGAATACACCAACATATGATACCCCCCAATTAAAACGCACATGTTACGCAGAGGGAAACAAGTCATTAGGGGGTGGCTATCACAAAGAGGGAATTACACCAACATATGATCCCGGCCAACTAACACGCACATGTTACACAGATGGAAGCAAGTCATTATACACTGGCTATCACAAGGAGTGAAATACACCAACATATGATAACTCCAAATTAACACGCACATGTAACACAGAGGGAAGCAAGTAATTATATCCTGGCTACCACAAGGAGGGAAATACATCAACATATGATACCGCCGAACTAACACGCACATGTTACATAGAGGGAAGAAAGTCATTATATCCTGGGCATCACAAGGAGAGAAATAAACCAACATATTTGATACCGCCCAATTAACACGAGGGATATACACCAACAT